GGGGCGGGCTCATGGGGGTTGGATCCAGTGGATGAGCTGCTGGCAGCGGAGCCGGGGGTGTGTGGTCCGGTGACGGTCGGGGGCGTGGGTGGGTGCCCGGGGGGGGGGGGGGGGGGGGGGGGGACACCCCGCGGACAACGGAAAACCGGAGGAACCGAGAAGGAAAGAGGGGGCGGCGGGCAAGGAGAATGGGAGCAGGGGCACGGGGAGCAGCAAGTAGGGGGGGGGGGGGGAACCTGTCAGGTCGACAAAAACGAGTGGAGAACAAAGGCGGTGAGGAGTCCTCAAGAGGGAGGAGCGGCACGCATCTGAGTGCGGCCCGAAAAAGCTCACACCAACGACGGGCTAAAGCGGCCCGACACCACTCCGGCGGACCCGGCAAAGGGAGGGCGCACACAGAACCCCCCCCCCCCCCCCATTAGACATCCGGCGATGGGCGCCTGGGCCCCGGGCAGCAACAACATCCAGATGGGGGCTCGGCACCATGCCCCCCACACGCACACACCGACTGGCCGGCCGGCCGGCCGGCCGGCCGACCGACACAGACATCATCCGGCCCGTGCTCCCGGCCCTCATGCCCCGGGCCAGCCTAATCCGGCCGGCGGGCAAGCAGCGGGGCGTGGGGGCCAGCGAACGGTACGTCGTGTCGGGGCTGGTGCGCGATATGTGGGCAGGCGAAGAGCATCCGAGCCTGCCCGGGCGGGGGGGGGGGGGGGGGGCGAGGGGCAGCCAGACCGCCCTTGCGCGGCCCCGGGGCCGCGCATCGGGCAACCAAATGCCGAAGACCGGGGGACCGGGCCGGGGGCCGGCGGAACGCCCGAGATCGAGTGGCCGGGAAACAATTAAAAGCCCCCGGCCCACAAGGCGGAAAGGGCACGGGCGAAGATAAGGAATGCTTGCGCGGTCGGTCCTCCGGCGACAGAGAGAGATAGCCAAATCCGAGGCCCGGCGAGCAGGACTCTCACACAGCCGAGGCCGAATGAAATCCACGCCCCGGGAAAATGCGGCCCGCGTGAAAAGACCCGCCCGGTCCGGGCGCTGGTGACTAGCGAGCGGTGGGGCCATCTGCGGGCCGGATCGGCGCCCGGGCGCGCACATCCGCATGCGGATGCGCGCACACCGGCCCCGGCGCATATCCCTGTCCGCCATGACCCCGAGGGGCTTTCACGCCTCGCCAGAGCGGCGCCCATACCCGGGCGAGACCGCCACCACACAAGGGCGCGGCGCCGCCGCTGCGTCCTCCCGCCTTACCCCTCCCCCGCGGGGGGGGGGGGGGGGGACATCCCCGCTTTTCCCTGACATGAAAGACAACACCAATGACTCAAGAGCACGGCACCCGAGACAGCGAAAGAATGGTCTTAGCTGTTTGTTGTTGCTGTTGCCCGCCGCTCCCCTGCAAGCCGGACCCTGACCCCGGCCCCGCCAGGAGAGGCACCGCACTTGCGAGACCTGGCCACAGACCCCTTCCCCGTGCTGTTTCCCGCCCCTGCCGCGCACGCTAACCGGAACAGGAGGTCCGTCCCCCATCCCCGCCCTCTGGGCAGAGGAAACCCGGGGCTATGAAAAAAGAGCGGCGTGTGCGCGCACGCCCGCGCGCCACAAAGCAGGCCCCATGTGAAAGGGTGGGGCCGAGTCTCGCGGCGGACCTATCACACGTGTGCCTTACCGTTCCGCGTGATCCCTCCCGCCTCTCGGTCTTAACTCGGGGCCCTTGCACAGGGCACACGGCGCGCCCGCCCGGCTCGTTAATCAGAAGGATGGGCATTTGGGGGGAATTAAAAGTGAACCGTGTGACCGGGGGATGTGTAGTTTGGAGGGGCGGACACAGAAGAGGCCCCCCCCCCCCCCAGAGAAAAGGGCGTTGGGTAAATGCCCAACCAAATGCAAGTGGGAGTAGGCAAGAAGAAGGGTGTATATTCCCCCCGACAGGGG